TGTTCTAATATACCTCTGAAATACTTTTTTGTTCTTTTAGGCATTTCTTGTAATGCACTTTAGCTTTTCTGATACAATCTATATAGTTTCTGATAACTGCTTGCTATCATTTTTTATTATATGTCCTTCCTTTCATTTATTTTTAGATTATCCTACCTTTTTATATATAACTCAAGGCAGCGAACATACCTAAGACTCCTGCCTCCTATTTTCCCAACAACAACCCTGTGAGGTGGGTTGGGCTGAGAGAGAATAACTGGCCCAGTCACCCAGCCAGCTTTCATGCCTAAGGTGAGACCAGAATTCACGGTATCCTGGTTTTTAGGCCAGCATCTTAGCCATGACACGAAACTGGCTCTCTTATACACATCTTTCTCTTTTCAGTATTTAGAAAGCTCTGTGTATCCACGGTAGTTTCTTTAAATCTTCCCCATTTTTCCTTCTAGTAAGAATTGATCCAGTATCACATTTTGCAGGGTTTCCCATCCTTTCTGGACACTTTTCTCCTTTAGAATTTCAAGCCATTTTTCTGAGTTCATCAAATCCACTTTTCTCAAATCCAGTATATCAGACTCATTCTTCTCTATTTCTCCTCCCCTTGATATAATGAGCTCAAAGATAATATCATTTTCACTTTATGTTGAGAAGGATTAGGTCCAGGAAAGCAGACACTATTGTTCTGTCTTCCATCTTCTTACAAGATCAGTTGTCAGCAAGAGAGGGCAGGAATTTTTTGGACCTCAAATCCTTGGCACGGTTGGGTCAAAGGTGTGTTGACTCAGTGTTTAGAACTGAATACCCCAAATCTCATTAGAACATAGAAATCTTGAGTCTTGGTTTATCTTGTGAATTGTTTTGGTTTTTTAAAAAATGTTTTAATTGTGGAGAATAGTGGACACTGTGCTGCTGCCTGCCTATTAAAATGTCTTGGGTAGTTTAGCTCTAAGAAGAGAAGGCTATTAATTACAGGCCCGTTGGAATTACATGGAAGATAGGCCAGATCCAGTTATAGATGACACTTAAAAACAACATAAGATGCTAAGAAAGTAAACTGTAAACTCCCACACACAGAAAATCTCTAAATATTAAGTTATTTTTGCCTTGTGAGAAATGCAATCGCTGTAACCACTTCTACGTTGAGTGGGTAAGGAATGTGGAGGAGGTAGGGTGTGTGGCTTTTTTTTTTTAAAGGAACTGAAAAGCATTAACTGCAAAAAGAAGAGAGATTGAAAGTGGATGCTGCCAGGCTCTAAGCCACTGTTTCTCACCTCAGCAACTTTAAGATGTATGGACTTCAACTCCCAGAATTCCCAACCCAGCATGCTGAGAATGGGCTTGAATTTGTTAGTTCCCATCCTTAGTCCATCACTTTCACTTGAATTAGGGCAGGGGAACCTCAGATTCAAATCTGCAACTGTTAATTAATTCTTTCAGTCTTGGGAGGAAATGGGAGGTACTGTTTTTTCTTCACTTCTTTCAGTTCCATGAATTTATCTAGAGTAGTGTTTCTCAGTCTTGGCAACTTTAAAGTATGTGGCCTGCAACTCCCAGAATTCCCCAGATAAAGTGTCTGCATTACTAACAAACTATAATCTTTATCTGTGGAGTATTAAAGAAAGGAAATAAAGAGAGGGTTTCTGGGGCTGAAACAAAAGGTAAGTCTAACTAGTTAACCAAATAACAGCTGCAATACTGGAGACTATTAGCAGACAATATAAAAGTGAGCCTTGATAGCCTGATTCTGTAGGGGCCTTGCAGTTTCATTTCTTTTCCTGCCAGAGGTTTGGCATATTTGAGCCCAAGCAATTCTTTCTGCATCCACATGGGTAATGGGAAACCAAAAGAGAGTCTATGGCTATCTTTATGCAAAGGACTGGAACACAAAAGTATTTCACTGTTTAGTGTGGATGGTTGTATTCCTAGGAAGAGGAGTTTTGTGCTGAATATCGAATAACACACTGCCTTTGGCACTTCTTTCTAAATCTTGTTTTTACTATCCTGGAGAATTGCCCAACTTTTTGCTATTGCTAGCAGCTGGATTGGTTGCATTGTCACCTAATAGCACACTCTATTAATCTAGATTCTTGTTCTCAGCAACTTTTGACTTTTAATTTCTGAACTGGATATCTGCTGGTGTTCAGAGAAAACTTCACTAGAAATCTGTGGGAATGGAGAGTTAAGTTAAACAGTTTGCAGACTAATGTCAGTGTGGAAAATGGAACTAATTATAGTTTATGTAATCTACATTTTGCTAATAATAATTAGTGCTGTGATTCATTCCCTTTTCCTTTTTTTTTTTTGGCAATCTTTGTCTAAAATAACTGTCAAGCCATGTTATTCTCCTGTTGTTCATCTATATAACACATCCATCTGTAATGGATTTTAGGAACACTGAATGCAGCTAATTGCCAGGATTAGTCTGAAAGTTGGACTAATTATTGATTTTATGCTTCTCATACAAAGAACATTTTTCAAGTGATAATATTGCTTCATCTTTGCTTTTTTAATATACACATACACACATACACACATAAACAGAGAGGCCAGACTCTGCACGTAGAAAATGCATTAGCAAAATAAGCATAATCCACCAGGAACTTCTCTATTACAGGCTTTATTGAAATGAAATGGCAACTTTGCAAGAAGACTACTGTTCTTGCACACTTCCATTTATTTCAGTAGAACTGAATTAACACAGAGATTGTGCTAATTGTTTTTAGAAATATTTTGGAGTAAAATATATTTTGACTGATCATTAGTGGAAAAGTTTTTTTTAAAGGAATTGAAATTCTTTCTTGTTATATGACTACAATTTCAGACTACTATCACTTCTATAGTTGTACAATTTCTGTTGAAGGCCTTTGTGTTTCTTTAATCACTAACTGGCAATAATTTATTCTTTTGTTGTGGGGAGGCAAACTTGCATCCAGAATTACAGAATGCAACTTTAAAAGCTTGCTTTAAAAATAGTAGAAAAGTAAACCATATTAGAATTGACATAGTCTGGGAACCTGAAGTTTCTATAAATTTATTGTAATGCAATTTTTAGATAGATGGTATGAAATTTGGAGATACAATAGATTTTCTCTTGGTGCCCCACACTATGCATACATGTTTCTTGGAGTGGTGAGCTGAACTGTACATTTTACTTTAAATTAAGGTTTTGTGGATCACGGGTCATTATTTTAACCTCAGTACTAACATTTTCACGTAGCTTTTATGCATGGGCCTGATATTCCAGTGTATGCTTACTTCTCTACATATACATTTTTCTCTTTAAGAAACTAGTGATAAATCTTGAGAGATCCATAATATACCCAATATCAGGCAATTTTCTTTCCTTTCTGGACATCACGTGGTTAACAGTATACAATTAAGGAAATGGATGGACTTTTCCTAAATTTGCCCAGAATATTGGGGGTATGTTTAATATCATGTTTTGTCCAAATTAGTTTGCAATAATATATTTAGAGGAAAAATAATCTGTCCTCAAAACTTTGGCCAGCTGTGAAACGACTCATGGATCACCCCAGTGGTTAGTCCATGGTGAATAAGAACTCCTAAAAGCATGTTTTTCTCCACTATGCCCACCCATCCCCCCAATCCTGGGTACACTGAGTGCAGAATGTCAGCTCGCAACACCCTCTTTTTCCTTGTTTGTGCTGAAAACTGGAGAAACACAGAAAGATCATTCTATGATCTCTCATCCTTTTCTTTTCAAGCTTGTTGCTTACACGTCCCAAATTCCAGCATAATACAAGAGAAATCCTGCCACTTTCAACAAAGCATAAATCACTCAAGATATAAAACGATTTGCAAAGTGCTAATTAACATTCTTTTTGGTTCATCCTGATGACTGAAAAAGGTGTTGTGAAAGGAAAAAAAAAGACTAGGTTTAGGGTGACTTTCTGTAACAGAGAGAAAGAAACACTACCCAAATGTCTCCAGCATTTTTCCTCTGTGGAGTATTGAAATAAGAGAAGGCCTCCTAATGAAATAGGACTTTATAAAGATTATTTCCTACTCTTTTAAAAAGAAATTATGTTCTCCAACTCTTCAAAACGTCATTAAAATTAATGTTTTCCAAGTAGAACCTAAGAAAGCAGTCTGTCTAACATTTTCCAATACCTATTCCTCTGAAATGAGCATGTTTGGAACTGCAATTCCCATAATTCCTGACTGTATTATATTGACTGTGGCTTTACAATCAAAAACTTTTGAAGGATGTTGGGTTGGCTATTATTTTCTGAGATGGGGGAGAGGAATTGATTGGGAGAATAGAGATTCATGCAATCGTACACATGGAAATATTCTTGGACAATTATTGTCACAACAGAATACTGCTAACTTATGTAACATTATTAAGAGCTGAAATGATTTGAAATATAAGAATTATCTGTATCCATTATAGTTCTTAAACAACCATGGACCAATCACAAATGCAGGCTCAATCATTCATCTTAATGATCCTTTCATAGCATAAATAGCTCCAATTGTTCTTCTTACCTTTATACATTAAATCGCAATTGTGACATTGAGTGAAACCGAGTGAGGAACAGATTTTAAGATGATACAGCAGAATTGTGAAAAAATTGCCATATTCAACTTCATTTTAACTTTGGCCTCCATGATTTGCTTTTATATTGTAATCAGGAATAAATTTCTGCAATACAAGATTATGTGTGATCCACAGAGACTACAAAGAGAAATGATTAACTCTTGAAGCTGTTGAATGAGGTCATCGGGTCCCCTTTTTTGATCTTCACTGAAATAAAGATGTCTTTTATTGAATTCTGCCACAGTTACACATGCAATTCTAAGAAAATATCTCTGCTTGTTAGTCCTGGATGAGGAAGTTGATAAGAGCGGTTCGAGGAGACAAGAAGAACTTTGTAATTGTTCTTCCTTGAAGGTATTCACTCCCCAGTTCACTTTGAACAACCAGTTCACAAACTACTTCTGCATCTCGGGATACTTGCTGGGGTACTTTAACTTTACCACAGAGTTTATTATTGACCTGGAGAGAAAGACAGGAATAGATGAAAACCAAAGAAGGCATCTAAGATTTCTTACCTTTGTTTTAGCTTCAATTTATGCAAGGTCGTAACAGGTAGTCCTCACTTAACAACCCTAACTGGGATCGGTAGTTAGGCAAAACTTCACTGCTTAGCGATGGTAGTTCCGATAGTCCTCGTTATGGTTGTTAGGTGAGGACCATGCCGTTGCTAGGTGAGCACCTCACACTTCTCCTGCCTTGCACAAATTGCTGGTTCTGTCTTGCTGCCTTCTCTTCAGGCAGGTCCAGTGAGCTTCCTTCGGCAGACAAGGCTCCGCGGCCTTGCTGTGCTCCTCTCTGCTTCAGCTCCCCCACCTGCCTATCTCCCCCCACATATTTGCCCTTTTGGCTGCCCTACATTCCACCACCTACCTCTGCCATCCCCTGCTAACTTTCGCCATCTTCTTTCTCCCACTACTGGTCCAGGATCCAGGTGCTAGGCGAGGGCACGACCTCAGGATGCAAGCACAGCACGGAGGCAGAACCTAATCTGCCAAAGGATGCTTTCTGGGCCCAGCCATGGAGGAAGCAGCGGAACAGAGGCGGCAGGGTGGCAGTGCGGGTCATGGCTCACCCAGCACCTGGATCCTGGGCCAGCAGTGGGAGGAAGAAAATGGTAAAGGTCACCTGGGGTAGCAGCAGAGTGCAGGACAGCTAAAAGGGCAGGAATGGGGGGCAGATAAGCAGGTGAGGAAAGCTAAAGTGCATGCTACAGTTATAAATACAGGCTGGTTGCCAAGTGCCTGATCACATGACCACGGGGGTTCTGCAATGGCTGTAACTTCAAGGATAGGTCATAACTACCATTTGTTCGGTGCCATCGCAACTTTGAGAAGTCACTGAATGAATGGCCATTAAGCAAGGACTACCTGTACTGTGAAACAAAAAATATTTTTTGTAACAATTCAAATATTTCTGTTGAAGACTTTGAACCTGTTATTCCTAAATTAGTTTATTACATACATAAACGCACACACACACCCCACCCAAATCAAAGGGGCTCCTGATTGGAAGATACAGAGAGGCTCCAGTCCTTGGCTAGAGGACTGGCTTCCAGAAATTCTTCTAATAAAAAACTGGTCAGTATATCTATTTTTTTATCTTACAAAATGAAGGAAGATAAATGGTCCCTTGTAAAATGAGTTTGTACAGTTGTTTCCAGGTTATTTTAGTGCAATTTCAGTCTATAAAATTGCTTTTTTAAAAAGCCCTATTGCAGTCAACACAACCTTGCAATAATGCCTGGCGCAACAGTCATATAGATATATCTTTCATTATGTCTACTGCATAAAATCCAAAATGTGTAGTGACCTTTCTCATCATTTCCAGTTGGTACTTTTGGCTAAATATGGGCAAGAATAGAACCAGCATCAAATGGAAATAATGGAGTATGTTATGCCAACCCAGACAAATTACAATTGTCTAGGAAAGCAACATGTCATTAGCCTGAGGTACTGAGACAAATAGTGAGTTGTAACTTAGAATACCAATTCCCTTTTGGAGCCTTGTTAAAAGTAACATTTGGATTTGTCTACTTATCTTGACTTGCAGGAAGATAGAAGCACTTATTATGTCTGACTTTGTGGGTGCTGCCAAAAATGGCAATCTTGTATCAGATCCCATTGCCCATTCATAAAATGGAAAGGTTTGAAAACCTATGTCACTCCAAATACTGCAACTCCCAGCATTTTATATGCTGCCCAGAGTTGCTGGGAGCCAGGTGGTATTGAGGATGAGGATGCTGCCCTTTTGGCTCATTTTGGCTACAGCTTACAGAACTGTAATTCAGGGACATCCAAAGAATCTTACGTTCCCTTCTCCTGCATAGGATGGCAAATTTGAAACACTCAATCTGCTCAGTGTCCTTCCTCTCAATAGCCCATTTAAATCTTTTGGGTTTTCTGGCAAAAAACACCATGTTGGTTTTCTGCTCATTGTGCTCTGATCATTGAAAGTGCTCTCCATAGGTTTAAAAAGCCCTAAAGGTGTTAATGATAGAATAGCCATGTTCTATCTTGCAGGGGTGGAAACTCAGATCAGACAATCTACTAAGGAGTTTTAAGAGATTAAATCCAGCCTTGTGTAATGCCCTTTTGAACAGGGATTGGGTTGGACAAAATACCTTGAGAATTACACCTAATTCTAACCATAGAAGAACCATAGGTTATTGTGAAATTGTTGAATTAAAAGCAGAAAATGCCTTCCGTATTTGCATTACTGAACTTCTCCCAAAGAATTGTCCTTAAATTGAGTCAAAAGTTGATTTGAGATATAGAAAGACTGCATAAACTGTAGACCTGTTCTTGCAACTATATTTTTCAATAAGATTGAAAAACCTGTTATTGCAGCTATATTTTTCAGTAAGAATATGATCTAATGTAGGACAGTTGGAACAAAAACTGGCCTGCTCCCTGCCCACTACTGATTCTTTCTCTCTCCAATTCTATAATTTGCTATTCAGGTGGCAGGCAGGGATAACATTTGCTAATCTTAGTCAACAGTGGTAATACCCCAGTCTTGGGAAATACAACCTGTATGATCTATATAAGAGATGCCAAAACAGATGTACACTAGTTGGCATTTTCCTTCAGCATCTTAGGCTGGCATCACTACAAGGAACCTTGCTTGACTTTAATGATTCTATAAGATGGTTACTAATAACAGGAGCCATTTAGGAAGAATTCCTTGATTTATTTCAGTTTTTAGATTTGCCTGTTCCTGTTCCTGCTTACAGGAATTGTAAATGACTTTAAAATATATTTCCCATGTCTCTGTGGGATCTTTACTGATGGTGGCAAGTTGTTTCTCTGATAAGCTTTACAGGTTAACACTAGCACTTTAAATTTAGGGGTCTGGATGGGGGAGAATAGGCTTAGATTCAATCCTTGTAAGACTTGTAATTTCCAGAGGAAGGAGTGGAACCACTGCAAAACAGTGCCCCCAAACCCCAATCTCCACAAGTGGTCCAGTAAGATACCATGGTCATTGGTATCAAAGCCACTGATGGTCTGATAGGACCAGGTAAATTGTGCTATCTTCATCCAGTCCCAGTATAGGTCAGCTAGGAGAGCAACCAGTGCCATCTCGGGTCCATATTCATGCCTGAATCTAGACTGACAAGGTTCAGATAATCTTTTAAGGTACCATGTAGTTGATCTGCTTCCATTGTCAAAACAACCTTCCCGCCAAAAGAAAGGTTGGAGACCGGATGATAATTATCCAACACCAAAGAATTGAGAGAGAGCCTCTTCAGCAAGGGTTGCATCACTGCCTCTTTCAAGGCTGTAAGGAGGTGTTGACAATTTCACAGATCCATGGTAACTCTACCCTCTCCTCACAACAGTCAGAATGGGCCAAGGTCCAATATACATGTAGCAGAAGATAATCTAGAGTGCACCTATTCACTTCCTTGGAGCTCACAGGCCAATGCTCTGAGACTTCCCACATGGAGTCAAGACTGCAGCAAATCTGACTGACTTTGTTAGCAAAGTGCTGTACAAAATGTTCATAGCACCAGTGATGACGGCTCTCTAAAAGGAGGTGAATTACCCAAAACAGACCTTCTAGATGAGTCTACTGTCAGATGCTTTGCCTCCCTAGCTGACCTATTAACACAGTGTAGGCTCAAAAGTGGGCATGCACCTGTGCTTGGTTGAGTTTGGTTTTTGTCTGTTTCTGCTGGTGCCCCAGGCATCATTTCTGTCATTTCATTCCCTGGAGCGTCTTAGTAAGCCAAGATGCCAATTGGGATTGACACCCAGAAAAAAGGAGTTTCAGTCCAGCACCTGATTCATCTCCTGTTGTCAGTAGTCTACCAGGCACCAGAGTGAACTGCACCAGAGAGTTGGGAAACTCCCCAAGTCCCCTCTAGAAACTAACAGCTGTCTGTGTTCCTGTGACATTTCAGTGAAAAACACTAATAAATAACTGAACTGAACTGAAGAAAAAGCTTTCTCAGCCTTTTACTGGTTTGAAGCAGGGAACTTTAGTCATAAGCTGAGACACATATTTTCAATTTAATTTCTGCCCCATTTTATCACTAAAATATGAGTGTCTCAGCTGTATGAAGAATATAATTATAAAAATATGCATGAGGACCAGCCAACATACTATGGAGTCAGACATACTTTAAACTAGAATTTCCTTCTGTAGAGGGTATGTAAACATGAAAGGCAGATCTATGTTTCTACATGCTTGAACATTTACTTATCTCCATCACATTTGACATGTTTCCTGTAAGCAGACATAACAAAAACTGGTCATTGAAAACATGCATTGTTCTGGAGGGACAAAAAGATTAAGAACAGATTGCACAGGCACATATACATACATTCCATATCAAGTTAGGTAAGAAAGTATAAGTAAAGAATAACCCTATGACCATTACGGTTTTCTCTCTACAGCTTTGTTTTAGATGTCTGTGCTGTTGAGCTCCTACTTGATGTCCCCAAACAGCTCCTAAAATCATCAAAATAGGGAGTGCTTCCCAGAATGTCTGAGGTGAGCTAGCTCAGAGAACTTTTTAGAATAAAAGAGAAAATGCCAGCACTACAGACGTGTATTTAGACACTTTCTCAAACATTCTATCCCAAGGAGACATATTTTCATACTAATACAACTTTAAAAAAAAATGCAGAGGCCAGAAAACAATAAGTATCCAGTTCTTTAAGGCAATGGATTTTGATGCCTCACTTTCATGAGTTTTATAGGAAAGGAAGACATGTGTTTTGGGGGGTAAAAGGACTTCCAGTGGTTTCTAATTCAAGCTATCTGCTTAGCTTCAATAGTTTGGCAGCACTAAATGTTCCAAGACAATGAGCAACAAAACATACATCCACATAGTTCCCCAGTTAATTTGAGGTGATGAGCACTCAGGAATATTTACACATATCTTGTTGGTCGCTCTTAAAGTAAAAATACATGTTCTTACCAGGACTGACACTTCCACTATGTCTGGCAGCTGAAAATATTCTGGGTCTACAGTAGGCCAAGGCTGCTGCAGTACATCCATGTCCCAGTGGTGATGAGTACAGAGTTTGTTTGGAACATGTGACAGACCTGAAATGCAATATCAGTAGATTGTTGTACTTAGGGAAACATTTTTATAGTTTGTTTACTTAGTTTTGCAGATGCTAGAGTGAAAATGCTGATAGCTTGTTTTATACTGAGGAGCTAACAGACCAGAAACTGAACATACACTCGATCCTAGATTACAGCTAAAGAGAGGAAGGTAAAAGAAAATACAATCATTTTACTATTAGAAAATCAAGCATCAAGCTGAAAGAAGGTTGAAAAACTGACTCTGAGAGTCAGACTCTGAGAAATTTACAGAACGTAACCACTAGATTTGATCCTAGAAGCTAATAAAATATCCAGTCCTAAATTTATTTTCTCAGAGATACGGAGTGTGAAATCTTGGCTATGCTAGATGGCCTGGGGGCCTGATGGGGCTCGCATCGTTGGAATTGGCTCATGGGGAAACTGATTCTGCCCCCCCATCTTGAATTTTATAGTCTTTTTATGTATATAGTCTTTTTATATAGTATGAATTTTTTAGCTAATTTAATGTGAATATTTATATATTTTTTACTGTTTTTGATGTTTGATTTTAATTGTGAGCCATCCAGAGTCACCCTCTGGGGGAAATGGGTGACATATTAAATAAATAAATAAGTAAGTAAGTACAGAGATGGACAAACTGCAGCCCCAGCACCCTATCTGTGGCTCTCAAGAAATAGTGGGACCAAAAACATGGACCTTTTTTGCTTTTTTTTTTTTTTTTTTTTATTTTAGAGTATTTAACAGATAGAAAGCTTTAAGCCTTGCAGAAGCTTAAGACATCTGTAGCACTTAAAAATCTCAAAATCACCCAGAACAATTGGGGCAATTTTCCCCATTTCCTTAAGCTTCTGCACAGCTTAAAGCATTAATTTTATCACTTACCCCCAGCCCTAATAAGGGTTCTAAAATTTCAGTCCCACCCAAACAGGTCTCCTTACAGTACCTCTAGCCACACTCCTTGTAGCTCCAGGCATGGCAAAAAGAGAAAGTGGGGAACACAGGCTGAAAATAATATAGAATATACAGGGAAGAGCAACACATTTCAGTATTGTCAACCACAACTCTAGTCAATACAGTCAGTAGTGATGATGAAGACAGCTACAATCCAAGAACATCTGGAATGGCATAGATTGTCCCTGCTTGGACATAAAAAACTGTATAAAATAAATATTATGCCAATAATACTAAGCTGGTACTACTCTCAAATAAGGACTGTGAACTAGCCAACATTAAAGCTCAAAAATTGTCCTCTTGAAATCAGCTTCCTATCACTGGTTCATTCCCAAAGTTTACTGGAGAATAGATAATGCAATATTTTAGATAGCTATCCTCATTAGCTTAACAGAAAAGAATTAGCTTTTGAAGACAGCTAATCCTTTCCTCCTTAGGACAGCAACAAATGTTCCATTATGTGCAACAGCTCTTATACCATGGTCAGTTAGCGGCAAAAAGTTGTTTTCATAGTAGAAATGTTGAATCATGCAGGCGTGTGTGAAATCATTTTTAAACTAATTAAGGAATGTAATAGGACTTTGGAGTGGTGATTCATTTTCCTGCTAGCCCCCTCTTCTTAGAACATGTCCATTTAAAAATAAGCTCAGTTCTTCCCTAATGATCACATGGACAGAAAAGCAAAAAACATCATATATGCTGCTCCTTGTTTCCTGTCTAAAAAGGATTTTTCATATTACAAAAAAGCCAAACCAACAACATGCTGAAATAGCCACATGACACATAAAAATAAACACATGACATTGCGTCTTTCCCAACACACTGCCTTGTGCTTCAGCCACCCATCTGGCCAAAGGTTTGGAACTACAAAGTATGTCTCATCTGCATGACTCCAGATGGGAGAAGGCTGCTTTAGGGGAAGTAGAGTTTAACAAATTGAATATTTGTTGAAGAATTAGACCCACTAAGGTAAATATCCAGGATGGATGCAGATTTTGCACCTATTCTCTGATCTGGGCACTCAGCTATGGCTTACATATTCAAACTATCCATTGGCTGCAATCCAGAAGGGAAGATTAAAAGACTTTCTATCTCCTTTTGGGCCCAAATTTTCCCCCTTCTTTTCTTTTTAAACCATTCTTTCATAATACAGGCAACAGAAGGGAAAAGATTAAGGATAACCAGCTAGAACATTAGCAAAGCTGATGAGATGAGAAGGGAGACCCCATGTTAGGTCACCTCTTTGGAGCTGGAGTCTTCTCTGTGCCCCCAGAGGAGGGATTTCAAAGGACTGCTTGCCTATATGCCCTTAACCAAGGCCAATTCTATTTGCTTATATTATCAAAAAGTACTTTCGTATAAGAGCTGGAATTTATTTCTTGTTAATTACTTTAGATTTACTTTAATTTAAAAAGTATGTTTCTCACTTTCACATTTTTATATACATGTTGAGTATAAACACACAGAGTTCAAATGCAGAATTCTGGTAATTATAGTTTATAAATGAGCCACATGAGAATGAAAAAAGTGTTATCAATAGCTTAACTCTCAGAGCATTAAAACAAAATATAGGTTAAATCAGATGGAAAAAGTCTGATAGAGATTAATCTAAGACCACAAATGATGCAAATGGGTCCAAAAGCATCCTCAGGAGGTGAACCTGATTTGTTGGGGGAATGTAGGTCCATCTAGAATAGACTGAATCCCCAATTCCAGATTTGCTTTCCCCTGATCAACAATTCCTCCATTTTCTCTGGATTAAATCTCACTACATCCAGATAACCGCAGCCTTCTTGGTACCCATTGGTAAAGAATAAAATAGCACACTAACAAGACCGAGTCCCAAGACTCTGGAGATTGTTTAATGTTGCTTCATTTGTATCAGTATGGTGGATAAAACAGAATCCTGAAACACCCCACAGACCAATTTCATGGGGCCAGGCAAGAGTCCTGCAGCACCACTTTTTCAAAGTGCTGAGACGTTTAAGATTAACCCCTGTAAAATAATATCCCATGTTAGCCAAATGCTTCAAAGGATAACTTGCTTAATGGTACTGAATGCTGCTAAAACTCCAGTTGAACCCACGGGAACAAAATTTGCTTCTCTAGTTCCAAGCAAAAATCATTCAGTAAAGAAACAAAAGCTGTTTTTTACCTCAAATCTGACCCAAGCTTTTTTATACAGTAAATGATCTTAGATGTGTCTGAATGTTTTCAAATTCAAGGTTTCAGGAAGGAAACATATTTCCACATCCTGTTCACCATTACCAATTGCCAAATTATCAGTCTGATGAACTCTAGTGAAGCGCAGAGGGATACGTGCAAATATACTGAGGGAACTGCGTACAAACTAACCCTAACCCTAACCCTAAGCATTCCATATTTTAAAAAGTCTGTGTACACACACCTTTCTGTATGCAGAGAAGAGTTCTACAACCCAAAATACAAAATATTAATAATACTCTTAACTACACTGATAGGCCGATTTTTATTTTTAGAATGCAACTATTTCCTGAGCAGGATCACAAATACATTTATACAACTAAACTGAAAGACAACAGTAACAACAACACTGTAAGTATTTGGGTTGAAAAATAGTCCTATCTCTATAACCTAACAAAATATTGGGAATTTAATTACAGTGTTATCTGGCTTTTCTTTTCATGTGACATTATGAGAAAAAAAAAGTTTTGCCATCAACAGAGAACCAACCAAGAGATCTAACTAAATAAGATGAAAAGGGTGGGTGGGGGGAATAAAATTGAAAGAAGGGGGTCGACAGCTGTGGAAAGATTTATGACAAAAAAATATGCTTCCCCCTCTTTGTAGTATTATTTTGCAGCCTTAATATACTAAAAGCAATTGACATTACCTAAAGATAAGTCAAGCCACTAATAAATATTAGCAGAAGGCTAACTATTTATGTTGGTGTTTTTCCTCACGAACTGTAAAGGGATATGACTTGAAAGATTGTAAAAAGATCCTACAAAGTAAGACTACTATAGTATTAAAAATGCAATTCAACCTAGTGGAATGTAAAATAAATTGATGGGTAAAATGTGAATCTTCTGGTGAACCTCGGAGTGATTAGCAGTAGATTAGCAAAGAATGCCGATTCCTTGGTGCTAACAGTGGCAACAACATGACTCTCACCAACCCCAAATTTTAAATTATACTGCTGTTATGAAACAAACCTGGAGTAATTTGTGAAGAGTGGTGCAAAAAAAGAACTATGAATCCTAGTCATGTCTGGTACTCAAAACCAATTGCTGACTAATTCTCAGTGTATTTTTTTCTACCATGTTTCTATTAGTGGATTTGGGAGTTCTAGATTTTTTATTTTTAAAGTAGATTCTGCAAATCTGAAATCTGCTTACCACCAGCTAAATCATATTAATTCCCCTAGTCTCCCATCTTCTTGATGTGCTGGAAGTTGTTAGGATATAATTCTGCAGTAAACATTTCCTAATCACAAAATAATATTAAGACAGAACAACTATTCACCTTTAAGGTAGTTCTGAAAACCTAATATGAGGCTGGATACATGCTCTTTCCTGTTTGTGATTTCTCTAAGCCAACTGATTTTTAAATATGATCAACAATTTGTACTGGGGGGAAAAAACTGGTTAGATATAAGTACCTACGGATTCATACAGGGTTGTAATTCTTTCTAACTGATATGCCTTCCAAGAGCTGTTCAAAGTCATAAACCACTTTGAAGTACATTAAAGTAGAAAAATAGGTGGAAAATATTGCTAGTTTTCTTCTTCAAAAAACCAGAAAGAAATAACTGGGTAAGAGAAACATAAATGGAATTTATTTCCTGTCTTGCACATATTATCTTGTTTATAAACCAAAAGTCCTGCTTTACATTGTTATTCAGCTGCATCATAAACCATGTGGAAATAAAAGAATTACAGATTTGTTGCGGGCTAAGGGCTAATCCTCCCTTGTGAAAAACAGTAAACGTGACAGTTTTCACCACAATCTATGCCTGATAAGCAGTAGTCCTGTGAACACTCTCCCAAATAGCATACATTTTAAGCTTTGTATGGTGGTGAACGGACTGAAAAGCCAAGAAATGACCTGGACGCAAGCAGTTGAAGTTCGATATTGAAGCTAAGCAGGTCTGGCTCTATAAATTGCTTAGAAAACATTGGTGAGCAGCTTTGCATTCTTTGGAGAAAAAGCAGAGTATCCGAGCAATAACTAAAATTATGAAAACATTATTAAAAATATTATCATGATGTTGAGAAGAGCCTAGATAGAGTTCTCCTCTAATGCTTGAGTGAAAACAACTCCAAGGATTTCAGGTAAAATTTTCACCTTGGTAGTAGAAACTATTTCTGTACCTGTTTATCCATGCCTGCCCTAAGTAAGGTTTATAGCATGTAAAAGCTGGAGAAAGGCCTTGAACTGTTGTCAGACATTTAAATTAAAGGCCAGATTCCAAATTGAGAAACTTTGTTAACTTGATGGATTCTGCTGCTCTATTGTGGCTTTATTGCCTTAATGATGGTTCTATGCTTCTGAACCATTTTGATGTATTTGAACAGGTTAAAATCAACAGATAATGCTGCAATTTATATCAATTAGTCTGTAAAAATGCTACAACAATTATATACAGAATCACCTACTACCATAAAGTTTCTAACAGCCATGTCTTAATCAGCCTCTCCAATCTGGTATATTCCAGATGTTTTTGACTACAACAGCCATCATCCCCAATCAAGATAGTCAGTGGGCATGCTGACTAACAATAGTGGGACTTGTAGGCCAAAACACCTTCCAGGGACCAATTTCAATCAGGCTGACTTATATAACCAACTGAATGCAGTTAATTCAACCACTGCATTTTGAGCTTTTCTACAGTATTTTTCTCAGCTAAGCAAAGGAGGAGGATAATTGTCTGGGTGATCTGGTGCCTGGTGGGAAGGGTTGTTTTGTTTTTATTCTTGTTTTTACTGGTTATTGTGAGCCACCTAGGATCATTATCATGAGATAGGCAGCCATATAAGTTCTACAAATAACAAATTAACTAAATAAATACATAAAGTTACCTTTCCATATCTCTGAAGTCAGGTGCGGTGCTAATGGGGCAAGCATAACAAGGAGAGTTGCCAGAGCATCTTCAAATTCTGCACTGTGGAAAACAAGCTGTTCAGAGGCTTGCTATGAAAGAATGAAGAAAATGGATTTTGTTAACTATTTATGATTCTAGAAATGGGACAATAAAATTAAAAAACTAAGAAGTTTGTAATAGCATACTATAACACTTGATGGTAGCTGAAAAACTTCCTAGAATGAGTAACCTTTTTACAATAACATGATAAAAGCAGCATAGAACCCAGTTCACAGGAACATCCACATTTAGCAAATCTTTAGTTCTCCAAGAATGCTCCTGAAGACCAGTCTACAAGAATAAGGCCTCAAAAATCAAGCTGGAAACAAGTGAATGGGAGAGATACGTTAGGCAAGACATGTACACCTGGCTAGACCTGGGTTTTGTTAAATACTTCGTAACATTTCAGTTCCCTCTTGGCAACTTTAAGATGTGTGGACTTCAACTCCCAGAATTCTCCAACCAGCATGCTGGGGAATTTTGGGAATTGAAGTCCTTGCATCTTAAAGTTGCTAAAGTTGAGAAACACCAATCTAAGGTAAAGTCATGGAACTAAAAGAAGTGAAGGAAAAACAGTTCCTCCCATTTTCTCCCAAGGAATTAATAAACAATGGCACATTTGAATCTGGCTTTCCCCTGTCCTAATCCAAGTGAAAGTGATGGACTAAGGATGAGAAGTAACAAATTCAAGCCCACTCACAGCAAGGTGATATCAATGGGCCAGTTGCTGTCTCTCAGTACCATCTACCTTGCAGGACAGTTGGGAGGAATGCTCTGCACATTGCCAAGAACTCCTGGAGGTACAGGAATATAGATCTAAAAAATCTTAACTAATAAAAACACCAACTTCACATGCCATGTCTCTCCCATAACCATATTATTTCTAAAACACCTTGTATCTGTATGTGTGAAAATAGAATAATTTCACATTCACACATTCTGTGTGGGCAGGGAATGAAGAAAGAAATTTCTCTGCTCCTTTCAGACCTAATGGGAAGTGATGAGAGTTAAAGTCTAAGACATCTGGAAATCACCTAGTCAGGCAAACAATTCAAAAGAAGATTAAAAAAACATTTTTAACTAGCTGAAGCATTGCTTTAGGGGAATTATTTTGCTTTGTTCACTTAAACACACACTCAGTGGACAGATTTGCATAATATTAAAATACACATAAAATGGCTAGAATGGGCAGAACTGTATCACACTTGATAGTAGCTGAAAATAAGCAAGAAAATAAGCAATAATCAAGAGGTAATTTAAATGTGAATGCAACTCAATTCCACACAGTAACTAGAGTAGCAATGGGCATTCTAATTGCAAAATACTGTATTCTAACTGCTAAGATAATATGAAATTCCTCAGGTGTTAACTTGAGAAACACACAAGCCCTTTCCCCAGTTATATTTTGAGTATGATTGCCCTGTCATGAACCGTATCAAACATATTCCTCTCTATTTGACAACTGTCTATCAATTACCAATCGGCTTCATTCACAACAGGACTTCTTTCAGTAGCAATGTTCGTGTTTATCACTGTTGGTAGAAGGGAACTTTTTAGAGGAAAGAAAACTGTTCTGCTCTTTGAAGAAGTGAAGGTTTCTGGTTTTAATTTTAGCTTTCATATTTCCTCATTGGGGGAGGAGTGAAAGTTAATACTAGAGAAAACTTGTTCCACCACACTAAGTTTTATTCCACTGCTCTTAAGTTTTATTCAACACACACCGTTAGTTAAAGGTGTGAAAAGATAGCCTGCAGAGAAAGATGCTGTTATATTAGCAGCAAGACACCTGCAGTTTAAATATATTGTTTCAACATATTCAGTCTATGCCAGGGATTCTGATTTAGCCATTAAATATTCTAAAACAGAAAATGAAGGTTTTCTTTTATTCAAAAGTAATGTATTTTTTAAAGCAACAATTATCTGACTGCTTTTTTAAACTTTATTATTAGAAATACATCACAATTTACAGGCAAATAATTATATTCACAATATTGTAGAGGTAACGATTTGTGTGATACCTGTGTTTAACTACCAGTGGTTATCAGCCATATTAAAATTAAAAATTACACACTTCCAAGAGGAGAATTTCATATTTTTTTCAATGCAAAGAAATTATTTCATAGAAATACAAAGCTAAACATTATGCCACATATATTGATATTACATATATTAGACTGGATCTACAGTGCACACTGAGGGAATAAACATACTTTTTGCAAAAAATAAGCAAACTTACATAGCATACTCACCAACAAAATGTTACTGAGGCTCATCAGCCGAGAAATTATACCATTAAATAAATAATCCTCCAGGAAGTATTCTGTTACCTAAACACACAAAAGCAAACTTTTTATTTGTTAATTTAGATCACAACACTCCAGAAGTTCTCTAGCAAAGGGTTTATTCTCTATTTTTATTTATCTGACACCTTTTATAGTCTCCCTTTACCAAATTAACATAGCAACATATAAAAACAATGCTTCATTGGTTTAAAAAATAGTATTTTAAATATCACTATAAAAAAACTAAAACAATTGAGTTTTGGCCATTATCCTTTTAGATACCGGAAGTCTTCAATTAATTATGGGGTGGGCAGAATGCTGTGTCCCCCCGCCAAGAAAAATTAGCTCTGGGTAGGCTTTAAGTGGTAATTTTAAAAAGAGAAAGATAACTGTGAAGGCAATTTAATGTTCCTGACTTTGGAGTAGGACAAAGATGATTGCCATCTGGCAGCATTTCAGAAATCATTACTGTTGTCCTTCCTGGCATTTTTTTTTTTTTGGTGCCGCAACATTATGGAAGAAATAGAAGCATGTATGGAATGTATGAAACAGAACACTGCTGTTATCATCTGCAGAGCAATAACTAATTTTCACAAAATGTCCTCTAATTTTCTCCAACATGATGCTCTTCAGATGTACTGGACTACCACTCTCCATATGAAGGGAAACAGTGGTGACTTAGTCCATCACTTCTGAAGTATGCCAGACTGGGAAAGGCAGCACTTCCTGCCATGTCATATCTAGCCTTGTTACATCTGTTCATCCTTATGACCCATTATAGAACCACATTGACTTCCCTCACTTTAGAAAGATAAGAGTTTTGCTACATAAATGCAGGCTAAACAAGTAAAAAGATCACAACTCTGTTGCAGCTTGGTGTTAACCATAGTTAAAATATTGCTAACATGTTTGTAATAGGCAGAAGCTCTTTCCAACCTCAGAGACAGTGAAGTTCTTCTGCTTCCAGATGTGTTTGGCATTCAATTTATCTTTCTGGTTAAGTAAGTGAGGACTGGGCAGAGGACCAGAATTTCTGGCTTCTATAAATTTAGTTGCTAGGTGCCAGATGCGAGTTTGCCATCGTAGCACTCCAGGGATTGCATCAGCTGAATGAAAATTGATAGGAGACAGAAGTTTTTATTAGCTCAAGTTAAGACAACAATTTCAGCAAGGGAAAAAGAAAAAGCATGTAAACCAATAGTTCTGCCCTTCCTTACTAATGAGTCATCAGTGCCAGTTTCTAATTTTAAAACAATTAAATACATAACATTTAATTGGAGTAAAATAATGTTCAACCTGTTTGATGATACAGCAGCTACACACTGTATTTAAAATATTCTGAAAAAGTTTTTCTTCTTTATTTTTTTAGGCTGATGGTCTAGTGACAGGAACCCTTTACCAGAGCTGTCCACTGTAAAGCCAAATACTAAGTGATGACTAAACCAAGGACTCTCTCACCATGGAGATCAAAGAGGAAAATACAGATTCAAGTGGTGCCACTTACAGAAGGAAGATAAACAAGACACTCCCCAATTTCTATAGAATTAAAGAATGTGAGTTTATAACAGCCCAGATCCTTATAGCTGAGTTGCTTCTTGATAGACTTGCCTCTTAAACACTTCTGCATAGTCACTGAAAGCAGTGGTTCTCCCACAGCCCCCCAATTCTCACAATACTCTCTATGGGCTGTTGAGGATCCTTCTGCTCCTCTAACTAACTAGTGGCAGAGTGCAAAAATCTGTGCTCAGTCAGTGCCCCCCCTTTGTTGTTTACAAACATTTGTTGTGCAATAAAAAACCCCCCCATAAATGGGGAACAACAGAGCCACCCCCAGATTTCTCAAGAAAGATGGAAGGGAAGAATGGAAATAATGTCATCAAGGCACCATGACCTCACAAGGAAAGAAGTCCCAGGAGCAAGGAGTTGGCAGGAGTGTCAGCCAACAAGCAACTAATTCCCCCCAGTTCCATGAGAATTGATTGTGTTAACTTGCTAAGTTAATTTGCTCATCTTATGACCCTTGTATGGCATTGTATGGACAGAGAGGAAACAATCTGATCTCAGATCAGTGAAGGACTTGTACATAGAAAGGATCTAAGTTGATATATCCTGTCAGCAATCCAAAACACACAACTTCAGGGAATTACATTAATATACCAAAAAAAAAATAAATTTAAATCCCTCTTTCAAAAAGACATCTGCTTCTCTTTTTGGTAGTATTCAAAGTATGTTCAAAATAAAAATCAAATACACTCTCAATGACTTTTTTCCAGGTGTGCTAAACTGTAGCTTCCCTGAACTGGAATATTTGATGACCAAGAATTAGGGCAATTGAATTCATAGCACTCCTGGAAGTTTCCAGCTTGGGGAAAGCTGCCATAGAACATTTGTATCTGGCAGATAGTTGGAGTGAAAAGGGCATAAAGTGTGTTTGGGTCACAGGTTAAAGAAGGTTGCTAGAAAGAGAAATGGATGTCTTCCTATGGAAATTCCTAAATAGCACAGGTATAAAATAAAGTATAAAAGCAAAAATCCATAAATATACCTCGACTCAAACCAGATGTTTTCTTTATGAAAACATCAAAGAGATTTAACCTGGGAATTTTGTCAGCAATTTGAAAGTCTAAACGGCATTTTGCAATGTAACACCAACTGACATCTGAAGAATTTGGGTTTGGGGAAAGATTCTTACTCTTTGCTTCCCACAAGATGTCTTGCTCTGGAGGGGCAGTAAACAGGATGTATAGCCGGACTGTATCAATTCCATACTTCTGGATTATATCTTCAGGTTCTATTCCATTGTACTTCGATTTGCTCATTTTTTCCCACATCACCTGCAGTTTCTCTTTGGTTTTTGCATGAATGGGTTCAGAACCTAAATACATACATACAATAAAAAATATAAGATAGAACCTCAAAAATGTTTTATGCTAAGAGCTGATTGCTTTTAATACTTTACTGCACTCATATTCAAAATGTATTCTACTTGAGGTCTAAAGGACAAATGGAGCAAAGCTGTCCATAGCATGCACTTGTCCTGCTGACAGTTTATCTCCTGAGAAGCCTTCTCCAATGTGGCATCTTCTTAGATGTTCTGGGTTACAACTCCCATCATCTTCAGCAAGCAGGTTGTAGTCATACTGGCTGAGGTGATAGGAATGATCCTCTTGTCTGGAGGTATTAAGTCTGGAAGGGAGCTCTTTCAGATCAAAAATCGGACTGTTTATTTTCTTCTTGGAATTTTTACTTATGCAAATTAAGTAATGCAATCTACATAGAATTGTCTTTTAATTTCTCTTCTTTCAAATTCAATAATGTGCAAAAGAACTTGTTTGTATTAGATGTGGAGATTCTAGGTGAACAAATAAAAAAACCTCTCTTGCACATCATCATCTCAGTCCACCTTTCCTAGGATGTGTGGCTGTCATGTCAAATATGTCACCCCATGTAAGGTATCTAAAGTTCCACTTGTAGCAATTCACACCTCTCTCCCTTAAACATCAGCCCCAAACGAGCCATGCCTTTACCAAGATAAACATAAGTTCACAACTATCCATCACTCCTTGATCAACAATGGTAGGTATTACTGTCCGTATCTATGGAAGGATTATACAATATCTGTGGGGCAAAGGCTGATAAATTTGATTTAATGTGAGTTAAATTTAAATGTAGTTAAAATTAAATATTGCTTAAATTTTTGTCTCTGGTCATGTATTTAACAATTTTCTCCTTCTGTCACATTAAAGATATGTAATTTAGTAACAAATTGTAAAGATCTCTGGGGGCACCATTCAAAGTTTTGGGGGTGCTGGGTGAAACACTGGTTGTGCCTCAATTACTTATAGAAAAGTCAATAGTCCTCACTCAGAAATAATATGGACCACCTGGAGGCATCACTGAACTAGCAGCATCTTAGACATCAAATTGTGTATCAATTTTCAATAAAACTATATATTGTTGTTGAACTATGATATCTGTAGTAAAGCCAGCTAGCTCAAAGGGTTAACTATTGTTATTGAACTCTGATAAATAACTTTCTCTAATAAATACTGACCTTTTCACTCAACTGGCATTTTGATTCTAAATATCTAGAACTATACCATACCTGTAACATCGCTAGCAATGTCATGAAATTGAGAAAATTTTGTGTCAAACCTGGAACAAACCATTGTTATCACAGAGATCCTGCCAAACCATTTCAGATCAGCTGTGGCTCAGCAGGCTACTTTGCTTGTTTCAGATTTCAGACAAAACAAAATCCAGACAGATAAGTGGGGCAAGGCTAGTGCACACTGCCTCTTCACTTTCTGTCTCTCTGTAGCAGCTCCCAGCACAGCATATCCAACTGGATTGCCCGCCTGCCCTTCTCATCTTCACTTCCCTCCTGTTAATTACTGCCAAGGCCCATATACCATTGCATCCTCCCTCTCAGCTGCCACCAATATCCCAGTGTGGCATATCATATGACCCCCTCTGCCACTAATCTCCTTGGATCCCTCCTGCCCAGAGCAAAGGAGTCCAACATGTAAAACATGAATGTTTCAGTTCAGGCACAGGTCACCCAAAATGAGCTGTTCCGTGACTAGAACAGTTCATGCGCAAAACATTTTCCACATTGCTAAATCTCACTTACCAGAAAAATCAATTTCTTCTCTTTTCAAATACTTGCCAGTTTTTGGTAGTTTGAATGTTTGATTCTTGATTAGGCCTTGAACTAAAAGCTTATGAAAAGGCTCTCTGAAGACAGAAAAATATTGAAAGCGTCAAGACACATTTCAAGAATATTTTATATACTTAATTTTGATGGTGGAATATCACATGATGAATAGAGAGATTGGGCTTCCCAAAGGCAGTGCTAGTTGGAAACAAGGGCAACTGTACTTCAATATATTTGAAGGACCTCAAACTGGGGAATCAGAGAAGGGTGGTATAGCCCATTGACTAATAATAGTGATTAGAAACATGAATGTAAAAGTATGATAAAATTAGGAACTATACAATGATGGAACTATAAGGAATTTGCTAAAATATATTTTGTTTTCATTTTCTAAGAACTACCATCTGAATAAAAACCTAAAGTCCTTACGTATATTTTGTTTTCCTCTTTTCCTGTCTTTTTCAAAAGCAGAATGACATCACCCAGTATGTAAGCACATATGTACACTATCCAACAGCCTTCCCTAATTTGGTGCCTTGCAAATCTGTTGTTCTACAATTTCCATATTTCTTAGCCAACATGATTAAAGATTTCTCCCATTCTCCATGAAGATTTCTCCCAATCTCCATAAAGACTTCTTTTTACACAGGCAGTGGTCTGCCCAATCTTTGGGTTAGAGAGAGTATGAATGTGCCACACTGAATAATCCCAGCTCTGAACAGCAAGAAGAACTCAAGATCAGTGGTGAAAGCTGAGCAGGTACAAACTCAGACTTGGATGTCAAGAGTGTCCCCAAGAACTCTTTTAGTTAGACACCCTCAATCTTAAATCGGATGCTATTCCACTTCTTGCTCTCCAGTTCAAGAAACATCTAACGTAGGAGATGACTGAGAGATAACTGTGTTCTAGGTTCCAAGCTACTGCTTCAATAAAGGCTGGAGTCTGAAGAATCAATGTAACTCAAAGGGTGAAAAAGCATCAGTTGAACTTTACTTCTCTTTGAACTGGCATTCCTATTTGCTACCTGAAATTACTGATAAAACCATCCTTGTGTATCATATCCTATGCCCCAATCTCTTATGGTCAGCATAGGGCCTATATTCTTCTCATGTTACATCAGCAGCAGGGAGGCCACACCAGAATAGCTCTTTTCCACACTGCCAGTGTGACAATCCCTAGAGGCAAAGCTGTGACTTCCCACCTAGAATAACCCTCTGAAAATTGAGTAAAGTTAATGCAGGATTGTGCTAGAGCACAAACCATTCTGTAGGATACAGAAGGCGCTAGCATTCTCTTGTAGGCAAAGATACAGAGTTGGAGGATTTTAGTAAAACAGCATAATATAAAATAATACAGGAAATGATACAGTATAATCTTCCAAAATATTACTAATTGGTGAAATTGATAAAGAGCAAAAGGAGATTATTTCTTTATATACACAGGTGCTTTACTATAAAAGATCAATCTACCTAAAATTACCAAACTTTACCATACATGGAAAAGTCAACCTAAGCTAAGTTTACACATGTAATAAGCCTCTAGCTCAGAGCTAATCTTTCAGGGAATGTTTATCTTTTATGACATTGTGTTAATTCACATATGTTGCCTTGTTGATTCAAGCTAAGTTTTCAGTTTGTATCTGCTTGCAAAAACAGTTACTGGTAAAAAGACAAAATATTTTACCATCTATGGTATCTATGCAGATTCTTGTTTGCAAGGATAAAGGAGAGGAGCTAAAGAACAGCATGAAAAGAGTGCCTTAAAAATGCATGGAAATCTGGAAGCAGCCAATACTGAATCATTAGAAACTCTGCTTTCTACTGTTATTTCCATTTATTGTTCTGTTTATTAGCAGTTATTTATAGATAATAATACAGTTAGAGCTCCCTCTCCTGGTTATAGGCAGAGACACAAGCTAGCTGCTTTGCAATTAACTTAATGGAGAAATCTTCCAATTTTAGTCATGTAATATACTCTAGCACAATCCTGGACTCCCATTATTTCTTTAAGTAGTTAATTTTGTATCATTGTCTGTCCATTTACTAGCTCTGATATAGCACAATAACTCACCGGGTTCTCTTTTTCGCTTATTCTCATGAGTGCCAAAAGAAATTATTTGACAAAGAAAAAAGAAAAGAAACAAACAAACAAAAAATGAACCCAAAGGTATAAATTCCTATTATTAAACAGGAATGGAAATCTGGTATGTAATGAGTTCAGAACAGTTCACCTGCAAATATCCCATCAAGCCGCAGAAGAGGGAGGTGGCTATAAAGGCTCCCTAGATGATTTCCATTATAAGAATGTGGACTTACCATCTAAATTTTTAACATAAAAGAAACAAAATGTGAATGGGGCAAAAACAAAGTTAGGCACCAGTATTACTGCTTTTTTCCTTTTCCCCATGTCTGTCTTTCTCCGCATCACATCTTTAGAGAGTAAATGCTCAGCTGAGGACTGGAGTTTTTTTCTTTTTTACAGATTGTACATTAACTATCCTTAGAGTTCTGGCTGAAGGGTGGGGTAAAATCCTTTAATAAATGAACTGTGTAAATGCAGTAAAGGAGAGAGCATCTCGGTGCAGTGGGATCATCTCTGCTTTGTTTTTTAACCTCTGATTTCATGCTCTTCTCCTTATTTCCATACAAGTCAATTTTATTCACACATACACACACCCACATTTTTATCCTGCATTTGCTGTGAAGCAAGCTGAGCTCAAAGTTACTTTGTGAGTTTCATGTCTGTGTGGCATCTTCCCAGCCCTAGTCTAACATTAATGACTGCATCATGTTGTGGCCAGATTAGACTATACACCTTCCTTCATTTCTTCCCCCTAGGAATCAGGAATGCATGTCCCTCTCTTCCTTATCAGGTTTTCCCAGTTTGCCTTTGGCACCACAGTACACCTCCTCATGGGCCTAGTGTTCAAAAAGTCACACATGCATCAAATCCAGTGCATGAAGCTCATATCTCATAGTTAGTTCCCTTGACTTTATGATCAGAGCCTTATACATATATATGTATCTTTTTAATATTAACCTTGTTTATGGGTATCTGACAATAGCAGATGTTGGACAAGTATTTTGGAGGAGAAGGAAAAACATCCTCTGACTCTCTACTGAATACAGTGAAACAATCTAGTAAGTATACTGTTGAATCCAACTGACAATTACTGGCCTTGCATCCATTTGTGGGAAAGTGGGCAGTAATTCACTATATGTATATAGTACACGTGTGTGTGTGTGTGTGTGTGTGTGTGTGTGTGGGCACGTGCACACAAAACATATCTAACCTACTTTGTGAGTTGCATCTGAATAAGGACGATAGCCATAGGTACTATAGGACTGAGATTGCTCTGACTGTTCCACTTACTTGTGTTTAGTCATATTCTGATCATGGCAAAAATGACTGAAAAACCTGGCAAAATACAAATGCAAGACTGCGTGCTCCTTTCCTCCAATGTACAGATCTACAGGCATCCAGTAATCAGCCAAATCTTTGTCAAAAGGCCTAGCCGGAAAAAAAAAAAACAGGCTACATTAAGAAATAAAAAATTATCAAGAAAAGTTAGAATCATTCCAAGCCATAATAATCACTAAAACATCTAACTGGCTTAAAGGATGCTGTTAATTGAAGGCTGCCATTAGGGGGCAACATGAATATATTATATAGCAACAAAATCCATTCTGAACTTTCAGTAGCCATGACTTCAAAAGATAGCACAGCACTTCATTATTAAGTCATATTGTGTATGTGGCTTTGAACAATGGTAAAGGATGTCAAACAGCTCTGTAGGAGTTATCCAGGTCTGTGCTTTTGACAGTGATCTAGCAGCATATTCATGGTAAGAATATTTATAGAGGTAGTCATCAAATACACATAGGAATATGTGTCTTTAAAAGGTACTAACTTGTTGCAAGGTAAAAGTCCATTCAGAATGAGACTAAAAATATTGTATAAAAATAGTACCAACAGTAAATTGGCATTAACAAAATATTAATCCAAAATAATCTCAGTATTAGAATAAGTGGTCTCCACTGTAGAAACAAGCAATGCCTCACAGATTAAGAACAAGCACCGAATTCAAGTGAAGCCAGACAAAATTGGGCAGATATGGATAGATTTGGGAGATATTCCAACCAAAGATGCTCTTACAAAAAAGGTAAAAAATTGAACTCTCCTAAAGCATCATTAGTCGTTTTAAATGTGGCACAACACAGCCATATAAGTAGCATAGCTACACAATGTCATATGTTTCTCTTTAGCCTTGCTGTATACGGAAAATACAATATGGAAAAAGATGGGGCTCTAGTTTTGGGATGGATAGCTCCAGTTTCTAATAATTTTACTAGAGTTCTTCAATAACGATGTTTCAGGGGAAATCTGAAATAATATGTTACAGGATTTTTCCATGGTTCTCTGTTCTTCATCACCCATTAATGGATTCTGTGAGACATGGCAGATAGTAGCATTGGAGATTTGCTTGGAAAATGCTGGAAGTTCCCAATCCTTCTGCTGTCCCTATTCGCTTCACACATATTATCTGTTGCAATTTTGGTACCAATCCAAAAAAGCCATAAACTGTTTTTCATTTGTTTTGATAACTTTACCTCTCCACTTATTCTTCTCTAGTTCTGTACATTTCTTACCAAAGGACCCTTCTATCAGGTGTATCATTTTCAGAACAACTGATCTCAAAAACACAGGTGATAACATTTTGTTTTTAGAAACCTGCTAGCTTGAACAGCTTCTCTGGCATAAATATTGCTGAACCTATCACTATGAAACTTGGCAGGTGATAACTTTGCCTGCAAATCTCATCTAACTCTGCCATGAAATGAAAATATATTTGTAATGCTTTTTTCTTCTAAATTTAAATAAGTTAGGTCCAAAACACTTTTTATTCTAGATTAGCTCTCCAGAATCTGGAAAGTTTTGACAATACATACTCTTCCAAGGGAGAAGAGGGCCATAACAGATCAGATAGTGCCCTAAATGAGACACATAAAGCAGCCAAAGGTTGACCTTTTTATATTTGCAGTAAGGCCAATAACAGCAGAATCACAAGAGATTCTCCCAGAAGAATCCTTTTTCACTGTGTTTGGTATAAGCTGAAGATAAGTATTAGAAGTATTAGCTACAGGGGAACTTTCCAACCTGGGCTATAAAAAAACTAGCCAGCCTATAGGACTACACATAAATGCAGAATGAAAGAAGTGCAATTACTTACCTCTCAGTATTATGAGGATCAGTGTATCTTAAATAATACCAAGCTGAATCAACAAATGTATCCATTGTGTCAGTCTCTCTCCTTGCAGGCTTCTTGCATCTGACAATAAATTATAATTAATATTTCTAAGGCTCTATTAAGATAAAAGGAAATAGGAGGGGGGAGGGGCGTCTTATTTTTTGAGATGAGATGAGATGAGATGTTCTGAAAAAGCTACATAAGTTCCAGACTGTAGGCTACAGTTCTCTGACCATCATCTGTTGTGCTAATCTAATCAAGCATGCAAATGGAGATCTAATTAGAAGTGAAATCCTTAGGTCCTTGCTTCTCAAATAATACCAAAAATGAGGAAATCAGAAATTCAAAAATATTTATCAAAATATTCCTATTGTGATAAATAAAATAATGGGTTCCCATCTCGACATATATATTAGTCCTCCCATTCAAAACAAAAAACAAAAACAAAAACCTTTGCACTGGATTTAGGATTTGTTCTACCTCTCACTCTGTCTGTTGTGACCACCAACACATATCACATTAATAATAATCAATTAATCTTGTTTTGATAAATCTTGTAATAATCTTCTCTCCATTAATCACCTTGTCTTCATCATCCCAGAGCTAAATAAGCCTCAGATGCCACTGAACTTTAATGGGAACAAAGCACAGCTAAATTAACGTGGACCCAGCTCATTAGCCTTCTTCTTGGAAAGAAGAAGGGCAACAAGATGCTTCAAGATATTTTGGACTGCTTCATCATTTCCAACTAGCATGACCAGTGGCAAGAGAATGAGATTACTGCAGCCAAAACAGTTAGATGGCATCAGGAAGCTTATCCCTGGTCTTGAGCAAATAATTCTCTCCTTCTCTTTCTCACATGCACCCCTTCAAATTCCAGACTTGACTGAGGCTGAACATATAATTTCCTTCACCAAGTGCTGAATCACAGCATACTCTATGGAGAAAATATCTATTAGTAGGAAGAAGGGGAAAGCCAGCACCGAACTCTTCCAGCTTCTGGTTGGATCTATAGCTGGCCATAACATGGCTCATGCAGATTAAAAAAAACAGCATGTCACTATTAATAGAAAGAAGCATGTTATGCTTCTGCTGTACCTACTGAGTGGATTAAGCATACTGATTTTGATGTATAGCAATCAATGTAATAAAAAATTACAAAAAAGAACTTTACAATTGTAGATAAGAGGTAAGAGGGGTGCCCCCCACAGGCTTAGCAATTTGCAGTCACGAGTGGAAGGCATCTGGGAGGTTGTTTAATCATACAATTCCTGAGCTGTACTCTGAATTGATGCAACCCCAGGGGTCGCCTACCATGTGCTTCTCTGAATGCCTAGATTAGCAATGAGAACAGAGAGACAGCCTTCAAGGTAACTAAGGGCAAGCAACAGCAAACACAGTCTGCAGCTGCAGTAACAGTATTTCCTAGCAAGGAACAGTCCTCCCCAACAATGCTCAAAGGGAACTCTTCATTATTTCTTCCCAACAACCCAAGTTAATACCTGGGCCCGAAATCTGTTTCTTAAGTTAAACACTGATTAATCCTCTTCTGTAACAGAAAATTACTATGATCTAGATTGCCCAGTAACATCTTTACACTAGCTATGTTTTTAAAGGAAGACTGCTACTGGCCATACAGAAATACACAGAAATAAGAATTTCTCAAGTTTGCCAGTGTCTGAACTTCATTTTTTATCTCAAATGCCTCTTGCAATAAGAAGAGAAAAAAAATGAGTTGTCAGGAGTACAACAGTGCCTTATTACCAGCGGAATCTCTTTGAACACCCAGAGAAAGTGATAGGTTTACTGCCTCTGCGTTCTGAAGTGTGAATGGTTTCAGATCACTTACAGCTCTGGCAAGGCAGCCTAACAATACCAAATTCATCATGTCAGCTCTGCTGAGAGCAGTGTTCCATAATGCACATGATAGAGAAACAGTCTCCCAAGGATTCTGCTCTTTTCCACTCACTGTCCTCATGGCCTTAGAGAGCACAGATCTAATTTCCTCAATCAATATGTAATTTTCTAAATCTGAATTAGATTCTTATTGGCCAAATAAACAAGAATTTTAAATCTGGCCTGTATAAAAACCCTTTCTAATCCAAATAGCTGCTTACACAGAGCAGCAATAGAGATCAGGCCAATTCCAAAAGCATAGGGTAACTCATGCATTACAATTTTCTGATGGAGTGATAATCTTTTGGTACACAAAGCAGTAGCTTCTGAGTTCCTATGTTTACGGAGAAAATAAAGCAAATATTTTTTTTTTCTAGGCACTGTAAAAGAAGATGTGTAGCATCCTTGCTGGAAATAAATGAATGCAGATATTTAATTTCTACAGTTAAAATAAGAATAAAAGAAGACAGTCACGGATCTTACTTAACCTTTAAAAAAGGTTTTGGGGTTTTTTGTTTTTTTTTGAGCAACTGCTTCACCTCACAAACTGCAAAAACAGTAGTTAACAGTTTCCTCCTAGACAAACTATGGTTAGAAGATGAACTGAGAAATTAAATATGAGATTTTCACCCAATTAATTTCAGGGCAGAATATTAAAAAAAAAACCCCTTAAATATTCACTACACTGAAAACACCACAAAACTTAAAACATCAGTGCATAAAATGAAGAGACAACTTAAATATAAATGTTAAAATATTAAATATACAGGAAATACTCACCTTGGACATGTGCAATTAACCCAGTGTGAAGTGGAAAGTAAAGGTGAGACACCTTTTTCTTTAAAGGAAGTAATATTGGGCAATTGCACAGGTAAGTCCTCATAAAGTACAGGAACAGTGCCACAATTCTGACAATGAATGATGGGAATCGGGGTTCCCCAGTAACGCTGTCGTGAGATCAGCCAATCTTTTAATTTACTACTTGTTAGGTATCCTCCTACGCCTTTATTTTTGGCTTGCTGAGTGATGGCGTTTAATGCCTCTTCTCTAGTCATACCTGTAAACTGGTTTTACAAAAAACAAAAGATGTGCCTGCTTTATTCAACAATCATATTGTTATAAATAACAAAGTAGTCCAAGTAACTAACCTGATTAGAGATACACACTACCATGAGTAAAGCCATCAGCCCAGCTGAACTAACTTTGTACATGATAGCAAATGGGATTTATTTTAACTAATGGAGGGACAGAGGGAAGATTTTTCTATCTGAAAGGGGAGGCAAGTCTAAATTTGGCTGCTTCGAATTTTAATAGAGACCTTGGTAGTGAACATAGAAATTTCCTGAAGCTGTCTATAGTAAATATGCTTTTCTTTACTGAATTTGGTACATCTTATCTCGTAGCTCTGGCAACATTTGCTTTGAGATAACACACTAGCTTAGCTCATTTTTCTTCCCCTTGAAATGAGAAGTAAATGCCTGTATTGTGGAGACTTTGGGGTTCTCTGAGCTTGGTTCTTTTCCTGCAAACATTTCATTACCCGGCTAGGTAACAT